TGTGCTCTGGTATCATGACAATTTGGCCATCTGATTCATGGAGGGAGTCCAGCACCATCAAAGACACAGTATAATTTCTGTCACTTCTGAGAAAATCATCCTTGTAACACAGCAGTCATTTAGCAGGTTCATTGTAGGGCAGTGTAAATTTTCATGACCAGGGTCACCATTTATTCCAGTTTGTCTTGGACAGCCCCAATTTATACCTATATCCCAGCCTAATTACTACAGCCCTCTCCCTTTAGCTTGAAAAAGCGTCCGTTTGGAAAAGGAATCATGTAGCCATGCCATCATAGGTAGAATGACACTCTCCATAGTCCAGAAATGTGAAAACTTTTGTTTTCTTGTCAAATTCTCAAGATCACATAGATAGGATGTTTAGGAAATAGAGATTCACTGGTTTCAAGAGAATTTTGCTCAGGAGTTAGAAAGGGAAGTTTGAGAAGTATTTGTTTACCAAAGACTAGCTGGCTAGCCCTGAACTGAACCTTCCCTGCCCTTACCCTGTTCTTCCCTCCTTCTCTTTTGAAGAGAGGCAGCAGTGTCTCTCTCCAGAGGAAGGAATCTGGCTTTTTTAGCACTATGACAACTGCACAATCCATGTCTGCAGAGCAGGTGTAGGCTGGCATTCTGCCCAAGCCTGGCCAGACAGCTTCATAAATCCTGCCCTTACCGCAGCCCAAATTACTTTTCATGACACAAAGCCAAGCTGTGTTATTCACCTAATGCCCCGATTTACAGTTCCCAGGACAAAAGAACATACAGATAGAGTTTCAGGGCTCTGTTTGCCTTTGAGTTTATCTAAAGGTCAGTTTCAGGTCAAGCTCAAGAAACCTGACAAATGGTGGTGAATAAACTTGAAAATAAATTAAAAGCGAGCAGGAAACTTAAATGTTCTTTGTTCCGACGCCAAAAGAAAACCCAACTCAATTTACATTCTTTTAATATCTGAAACAAACAGCTGTTCTATTCACGGCATGCTCTCTTCAGCTCATGTGCCTGTGTGTGCAAGAGCTTACACATAAGGTACACACATGTATGTAACACATGCGGCTGCATAGTCCTCAGTTAACTGTTTGTTTTTGTGTCTTCAAAGCCTGAGTTACAAAAAAGATTACCCAGTTTATAATGAGAAAACTCTTACCCGGGAAAGTGCTTAGTGGTTCAGGAGTACTACCCAATGTCCTGCCAGGTTCCCGGGTATGATGACTTCAAGTTAGAAATTTCATACTCTGAACAAGAAAACAGACCTGAAAATGCAGGTACTTGGCTAAAGATAACTGCTTATCTGTCAGAGTGGAAGCCAAATAGATACCTCAAGAATGCTTCCTACAGTGACTGCAGAATAAAGTGCCAGAGGCCTCCACTGGTACCTAGTTTGCAAATCACTTTCTTTGTTTGACTTTGTTTCCAAGGTTGTATATCTTTCAAGCTCACTCATGTATGTGTCTCCTTAGTCTCCCTGCCCCTCCCCTCTTTCTCAACAAGCCCACTCTCAAATAATAAAATAAATGGAACATGTAATTCTGTAGCTAACACTATAGAATTAATGTTTTCTCTGAACAGGGTTAATGATTTTATGAAAGTAAATAAATGAAGCAACCAGTAAGGAGTGGATCTTTCAACATATTTTGCGCTAGTCAAGAGCACCACCAGCTGAAATGCTCCTGCAGAAAGCATAGCAGTCAGAGTTGTCCATGGCTGAGATGTTAGTGTGACAAGCTTCATCTTCTAGGCTTGTGGAAAGAGGATTTCTACAGAAAAAATCGACAGCAACAATATTCTAATTTGCCTGCTCTGGGTTATTACACATGACCTTGATATTTACTTTACAACACTAGATCTTTTTCTACAGAAAACTTCATGGTATAAATTTTTCTTCTGTTCACTCTTTCCAATCCCCTTTCATTTATTTTTCTATTCACAAGATTATAATAGCAATGATAGAAATGTCACGAAGTGAAGTAAGCCATTTCTGAAGAGTAAACACTTATCTAACCAACTTTTAAAATAGATTTTTAGACTACAGCTTCCCTTGCTATGAATTTACAGGACAAGATTTTTTCTAAAGTCTAAATCAAGTTGGTCTTACCAATTTCAAGTTTCTGAATGTAAAGTGTAGCGCATGGAATGTTTCAGTGCTTGATTTGATAAATCAAGCTATCATGGCTCTTGGACAGTACTTGGACAATTGTGGTAAAAGGAGTTTGTTGAATGAGTGATTTAGAAGACAGGAATTCTGTGGCACCGTTAGTGTACACACTCTCTCTGCTCACGTCTCTCATCTCTCTCTCCCCCACACATGGAGACTACTGCAAGGCCCTTCAGCTTTCTTCCTGATTTGCAAATGGTGAAAGCTAGGAAATATGATTTCATTCTCCCAGATCAGCCTTTGGCCAGTAGCGCATGGGACTTGGGGGATAAGTACTCCAGTAGGGATAACTGAAATACATTTTACACTGGCCTCCAAGGGTCCCTGGAAGACTGCTGTCCCACTGCTACAGCGGTAACTTGCACAGTAGCATGTCCTTTAGTGGCATCTTTGCTTCTCTATATCTCAGCTTCTCAAAAAGCATTTCCTGGGCGTCCTCACAAAGCTGTACTTGAGCCCTTTTCTGGGGCCAGGATCTAGACAATCCTAACTTAAGGAAGTCCATTGTGATGGTAATAGTGAAAAGGCAGGCGAGATCTTAGGGATCTGTGACTTGATCTGAACAGCAGTCCCCTTAGGTGATATGGAAATAGCCCAGAGGATGGTGCCCTATAATGCCCAAGGACATGCAAGTTATAGAATTCTACCTTCCAGATGCAAATGAGTGCAAAAAAAATATTTTTATTGTGTGTTTGCATACACACATATGCACATACAGATTGGGGACTGTGGACTGTGGGGAGAGAGTAGGAAGTGAAGACTTCTAGTCTTCTATTATTAGGATTATGACTGTAAAGACAAAGCATTCCATTGAGATTTGTCTGTGTGTTTGAAAAGACAGTTGAATGTTATTAATGTATTCCAGAAAGTACTGAACAGCAACTTGAAGCTTTTATCAGCTTTCCTTTGCTCTCATTTCTAAAGCAAAAATGCCTTCCCTCCAAATACTCTATTAAAAGAACATATGAAATTAATGAAACATATCATTACTTTTACAATGGCCAAATTGTAGATTTGTCACAGTACAGAGACAGAAACTCATTAAGCCATTGTGCTCCTGCTTCATGGTTTATAGTGTCTTAAAAGAAAAAGAATTTTCCAAACCTACCAAACCTTCTTTTTTCTATTATCTCCCTGCAACTTCTTTTATTGCTTGAGCTGCAATTCATTACTTATCTATCCATGCCCGTAGTATTGGTAGAACAGAAATTAAGAGTAGCTGTGGCTGAAAAATGAGAATCTCAATTTAGGGCTGCGATTTTCACGGTGTATTTGTGCACTGCGATCGAATTGACAAGCCCTTGCATCCTTTGAAAGCAGATGAGTACAGCAGCATTCTTTATCAGCCCGTCAACCCCGTTGCCTCATATCTTTCAGGGAAACTGTAAATTATTTATCCCATTGGGTTTGGGCATTTTAGCAAATGTCACCATGATCGCAATGTGAAGCCGAGCTGTCCGCTCAGTCACTCTCTACATTACACTGAACAGTGCTGTATCTTTTGAGGAGATACAGTGAATTCAGGAAAGAATGATAGGAGAAACTGTGTGAATCAAAGGAGAATTGGTCAATTCTCTTTTCACACTCTCCCCACAAACCATCTGAAAGAATATAAAAACCTCTCACAGCTATGCAAACAAATGTTGTTTAGCTGAATTTTATTATCAAATTTTGTTTGTGTTTCAGAAATTTTAGCAGAGGAACCATCTCATATAAATTATTTTTAAATGTTTACAACTCTTCAGTTGAAAATAAACAAATGTTTTTAAAAAACCACTTTATACAAATTATTATAAAAACATCTTTTAGGCTTTCATTGTGGAACTTTGTATTTCTTGTCTAAGAAATGACCAATTGAGAGAAAAATATATTTCCTTTAGCCCTTTACCCAATTCTCGTGGAGCGTTTTCAGTTGTTTTTTTTTTTTTAATCAGTTGGAGTTCTACAAGGAAACAGAGCCAATTGTACAAACATAAGTGGAGAAAGACATGAGTATGTTTATAATTATCTGTTTAATTATACAATAGATGTACAATAATCATACTGTACAGATGCATTCATAATTGGGAGACAGATTTTAAGCAATTGATTTGCATGATTTGTGGGGCTGGCAAGTCAGAAAACCGAGTAAATGGTGACAGGCTGGAAATATACAAAATATTTCTGTGTTATATTCTTGAGGAAAAGTTCCTTCTTTTCTCAGAAACCTCAGTCTTTGTTTTTAAGATCTTCAGTTGCTTACTTGAGGATCACACATTAGAGAAGATAATCTGCCTTACTCGAAAGTCAACTGATGTAAATATTTTTGTTAATCACATCCACAAATGTCCTCACAGCTACATTTGGACTAATACAATGTCAAGCAACCAGACCATAGCCTAGTGAAGTCAAAATACAAAGTCTATCATCACAGCCCCCAACAGCAAAGCACCATTTAGGGCCTTATATTGCATTAGAAAGAACATAGTATTCTAAGAGAGAGAGGAGGGAGAGAGGCAGAGAGAGAGAGAGAGAGAGACAGACAAACAGACAGACAGATAGAGAAAGGAAAGAGAGAGAGAGAGAGAGAGAGAGAGAGAGAGAGAGAGAGAGAGAGGAACTTGAATTCAGAATCCTTGTTTGCTACTTCACTGAATGCTCTTGGACAAGCTAAAACTTTATGAATCTCACTTTCCTTATTTATTTATAAACCATGTTAGTTAATTAATATTCTTTTCATCCCAAAATACAGAACATTTAATCAAGTCTAGTTCAAGAAATCAAAGGAGGGACATACCATCTGAAACATGAAAGATTTTGGCGCTGGACTGAATTTAGGGTTCAGTGTGACCTCATGTGTCTTACTTACCAGCTTTTGATGCCCTGTGATGGCTCCATTCCATTCAGGTTTTCTTCTGGTGGTGGCAGGCCACTTATAGGATGTTCAATGTATGATTTTTAGATTAAAGATTACTTTGTAATTCTGCAACGTTCTACCAGTTACCATCTGCTTCCTGTGACCAAGGATATGAAGAGTCTCACTGTAGCTGAGCTCGCACATCTGCTGTATTTACTGGAGCCTGAGATGCATACAGTGTATTCAGATATAGAGAGTAAGAAATGGATCCATCCTCAATCAGAATCGGAGCCTGCTGATACAGAAAAGAGAAAAATTACCAGAGAGGCAATACATGACTACTGCACGATAGTTTTAGTATTCAACTTGCAAGGCTGGTTCATTGAAGTTCAGTCTACTCTAGGCAATGTATTCTGATTTCTCTAGGTTGCTACCTGGCCACCTGCTCTCAGGCATTGGAGCAGTGTGTTAGGACAAGAATGGAATACGTAATTAAGAAAAACGTATCAGACACTTTAGGGGATTTGTCTTACTTAGTCTTACTAAAGATGGTCAACATCATCTTAGTAATGTCAGTTTTGTGTAATCGAACTGATTGGAATTGAAGTATTGGTAATTTGGAGGAACTAAAAAGAATAATTTTTATTTGAAATTGAAAGGAAGGAGTTCCAAGCAGTAAAAAAATGAGCCACAATGGAAACTTTGAAAGATTCTATAATTAACTTATCTTCTACAAGATAATTAAAAACAATTAATGAGACAGATGCGCTCCTGGAGTGAACTTATACACAACACCCATTCCTCTTCCCAGTCTATTTTATTCTTTTAGTTCTGCCCAACTTTTTCCTTTTTATCTTCCCCTAGCTTCATTTACAGCATTTTGCTTTATAGTCTATTTCCAATGATGCTCTTGGACTTACAAAATGCTTCCTGTGGTTGTGATTTCACTCAACTTTGTCTCAACGCAAAATGAAGTGTGTGACTGTGCATGTGTGTAGGTACTACAATGGTACTGATCTGGAAATATTGAAATGGATCTATTAGCAGTATTATTTTATTATGCAGCGGACTGAGACTGTAGAACAGGATATTCTCATGAATCCACTGTGTCAGTCTAAGTTCCCAGAAAAACTATAGGCCTAATTTTGATTGAGATTTAGTTGGGTGAGTGTTACTGTTAATGTAAAACAAAGCATGTCAAACATTTGCAATTGCATGTAATAGGAAACAATGAAGAAATCAGCTTCACAAGAGAGGGGGGAAAAAGAAAGGCAGGATGGCAAAAGATAGATAATTACTAGGAAAGGTTCAATGGGACCTTTCTCTCCTTCTTTCCTTCTATCTTTTCTCTCTTGCTTGTTTGATTTTTTCTTTCCTTTTCTTTTCTCCTCTTTCTTTCTTGTGCTAATATTCCAATTTAAGGTCTTACAAATGCTGACCAAGCACCTTACCACCCAACTATATCCCCAGGTCTGATCACAAAAATTCTTCCCTGAAGTATTTCTGAATATTTTTTCTAATCTGCTTTTTTCTGCACAGTCTGAGAGTTGTAAATATTTGCATATTCAACTATTTTTCTCTGTCATGTCAGCAATCTGGTAATATAATTAAGGATCTTGCTGAATCACCTTTAATGGGTGTGGAAGAAAAATACACTAAAATATTGGCTTGAAAAAACCCTAGTTGTAGAAAAATATTTAGAGATATATCACATTTTGATTCTCCTAACTTTAGAAGGATTCCACATGGAAGACAAAAAGCATTATTCAACCAAAGAACTGTATAGATTCTATAAAAGTAGTGTTTGCTTTCTCATCTACATCTTGAATTATGTGCAAACCATGATTAAATTGAATTATGATTTTGACCCTTACAATGGTAGTCTACTAACAAGCACCTCCAATGCTTTCTACCTTTCTCTCTCTGTCTCTCTCTCTCTCTGTCTCTCTCTCTCTGTCTCTCTCTCTCTCTCTCTCTCTCTCTCTCTCTCTCTCTCTCCTTGAACTAAGAGTTGAAACCAAGACCTTGCATCTGCCAGGCAGGTGTTTATGCCACGGAGCTATATCCCCAGCCATGCAAGACATCCATGCTGTAATTGGGCACTATTCTGAACATGAGCCAACTTGGCCATGACAACTTTAACTGGGGAAAATCATAGGGCCTAGTATGCTGATAATAACTGAATTTTACTCCTGGCTATAATTGCTATCAAGATAGAAAGACAGAGTCTTTTATATCAATCATAATATATTTATGGAGTGTCAATTAATGAACATTTTAAATAAACAATTCAAATCAATATTTACATTAACCCTCTAAATGATATTATCTTGGCTTTCTTGAATGAGGAAGCTGAAATTGCAGTGAAAGTAACCTGAGCAATAATAGAATTTCATCCCTAAATCTTTTAAGTAAGTTTAATTAATACTTTACCTTTTAAACAAACCATTATCATTCCGCCCCCTTTTGGAGAACAGATGAGTAAACAGCCACTGTGAGGCTGCGTCCTCTTCTCAGGAGGGCAGAGGGAGGAGAAAGGCCTTTCCCCCTCACTGGACAGAGCCAACTGCCACGTGTTTCCCTTGGCAGCTTCCCCCCGCTGTTCCATGCTAACCACTCTCCTTCTCTGTAAGTAAAATCTTGGTCACATTTCTTAATACTCAGGTAATTTTTGGTTTAAGATAGTCTCAGCTGCTTTGTTTTGTTTTTGTTTGTGTTTATTTTTGAAGCAGGGTCTCATTATGTAGTCCATATTCTTCCTGCCTCAGCATTCTGAGTAGTGGGATGACAGACGTTCATCACCACACCAGGCTTCTCAGTAGATTGATTGATTGAGTGATTTAGGCTTTTTGAGATAAGGTCTCGCTAGCTCAGGTTGGCCTCAAATTTGTAGCCATTCTCCTGCTTCAGAATCCCGAGTGCTGGGATTACAGGCAAGCACCACCATTCCCAGATTGAACAGCTTTTAAAAGCTTAGTCTTCTTAATTTTATAAAATCAGTGTCAACCTCAGTTCCAAGCTCACCTTCTTGTGTTATGCTTCCCGCAGTTACTTCACCCTCCCACTACACAGAAACATCTTGGTTTTGGATTTACACTTGCGTTGGGTATGAAAAAGGTACAATGCACTTTCTACAGTAGATCTTGCCTTTGGACTCTTTCTGGGCAATCGTTTTGTCCAAAAAGACTGAGGTGGAGAACCCACCTATGAGGTCACAGCATGAGTCCGGGTCTCTGGCTTGTCCCAGTGCAGTGAGGTTCTTGCACTGGAGGCCATGATGGATTCAGAATTTCACCTGTGTCATGGAGTAATATTTGTCCTCACAGCCTCATCCACTGAACTATCCTCTTCTCAAAGTGACAGTGAGCTGCCTCTTTTGTCTCTGCCTTTTCTGGGTTGTGTTTCCTCCTCGGCTCAGAAGTCACATGATCTCTACACTTTTTTTTTTCAACACTTTGTCACTCTAAATTCTCCAAGACCAACAACAATGGGACCTCATAGAGTATGTTTTAGAGTCTGCTGAGGTCCAGCAGAGCTGGGAGGGAGCATTCTTTTTCCTAGGAACCTGATCCAGTTCTTCCAAACCCTGATGTGGTAAGTTATCCAACGGGGAGTAACAACACTTCAGGAAAACCCCAGACAGGCTATGTGCTCAGTAACTGTCCAACCCTCCTTTCCTTCCCTATGGGCAGGGAGCAAAGCCATTCCTTAAAATGATAGCAATCTAGAAGCTGTGGATTTCAGAATTACCTTCCATCCTGGTGGCAGCACCAGGTTAGGCCTGTGATCTCGCAGCTCAGAGATCATTCCTCCAGGGATCAGGTGCCAGTCCCTCTCTCCAGCACCCTGCTCTCTCTGAAACAGTCCCTCACACACTTAGTTTCATGAAGGAAAGCAGCACTCTTTCCACAAACATTATATCCACAGTCTCACCACAGTCCTTCCTGGCTTATGTTAACTGGCGTGAGGAGGAAGGCGCTCCTTGGAGTAACAGGAGCAACCTGGTTCCTCTCTTACTGAGGCCTCCTGGGGGCCAGATACTCCTAACTGATGGGGGCTCACTGATGTCTTTGCAATATAGATGGGGGATAACTAGCACTTTAGCCTCAACTTTGGGCTTTATTACCAATGAAAAGAGAGAATTTTTAAAAAGCCTACTATGACATCTTGTTATGAATGCATTTCTCACTGTATACTTTAGAAGATTTCCCTACACTGCTCTTCAAAGCTGTTCATAGAAATATCTGCTTGATATCTGCCTAATAGAACATTTGTTTCGGATCATGAACTCCTGGAAAAGCCAATATTTTAGGAAGACAAATAATCTAGGAGGCTAAATTTAACTGTGTTTCCCTTGTAATTTTTCTGATTATAGACAATCCAATGAGATACTAAACAGAAGAACAGCAAGAAATCCCTTCACATTATTCTTCTTTATAAAGGAAAACCTTAAAGATAGTTCAGACTCATCTAGATTTTAGTCCTACTTACTAGAACTATTTTTCAAAACATAGAGAAATATAAACTCCAACTGCAACCAAATGTGTGTCTGCACTTGGCCCTCGTGCTTTGATATGATTAGCCCCAGCTGCAGGTACTGTGACCCGGGAAATCACACTGGAATTAGAGCCTTTCAATTCCAAAGGAATTCTTCACTGGATTTTCTACTTTACCAATACAAAATTGTTTACTTTCTATTTATAAATGTATTGAAACGTTACACTGTACTCCGGTGTTGGGCTTTATACATTGTGCCAATTTGAGAAGCCTAGAAGCTTAACTAAGTAACTCAGCACCGCTGCATCCTGGGGTGTAGAGGACCAGAAGTTTCCATCTAGGATATTGTTCTTTGTGTCAATTTGAGAAGGTCAGAAGTGTAAGTGACTAAGCAGGGGCCCAGGATCCTTATGTGGTAACAGACTCAGCCTATGCAACAGGAAGGTGCACACACTATGTGAGTGCTCCACTTACCCCAGGGCAGTAGCCTGCTTACAATAAAAGGCAAATGAGGAGGCTCTGGTTGCTGGTTGTTCAGAACTCCAGTCTTTACCTTCAGATTGGATGTCATCTTCTGGTTTCTGGAACACACTGTTTGACTCCCCCGAGACTTTTCAATCTTTATCGTAGATTCTTCAGTGTTCTGTTGCAGACCCATTGCCTCTGATATGGACTTGAACTGGAGCAGTAAAGTCCCGTCCTTGGGCTGGACCCTTCATCCTCTAGTGTGCAGAAATCCCCTGCATGCTCCCTCATCCAACTTTGTGGCTGACCATTGTAAGCCAATCTTGTAATTTCTTATACTTTTGTATATCTTGTAAATCCTGATGGATATATATATTAGTTTAATATTTAAAAAAACTATTTACGCTGACATTTAGGATACATCAGGGTGTTTCCACCATAAATATCAAGTATCACTTCCACTAACCAGATCCAATGTTCTGAAGTGTGCCGTTTCTCTATAGATACTAGATGTACTTTCCTCTGTGCTCTGCCTCTTCAGTTCTTCAGTGTGTTAATATGTAGGTCAAATGTCATCACCTCCACTACATGGGAAATGAGATCCACCAGTGCAAAAATATTCGTGACCTTGGAATAGAAGCCAAGTATATAACATCTGTTGGAAATATTTGTGAGTCGCTGAAATAATTGCAACCCATTAAAAGGACAGAGGAGCCTGTATATACCTGCATGACAGTTTTGTCTTGTTGAGGGTGTTTTTAAACATTCTCCTATGAAGAAAAGAGTGATGGGGGTACGAGAAAGTAACCAGGGTTTGTAAACTCTTGTAACAAAAAGAAAAAAAAAAAAAAATATATATATATATATATATATATATATAGAGAGAGAGAGAGAGAGAGAGAGACTAGATAAAAGATAACAAAAAGAAATAAAATGAATAAGATACATCAAACAAAAGAAATTACTGGAAAAAAACTATTAACTTTAAGTAACATTCCACATAAACTTTCATAAAAATAAGAGAAATAAGACAAATTGGTTAATAAATATTTAAATGCAATTAAAATATTAAATATTTCAAATTTTCTAAGCTTACATATTTGTTGCTGTAGAGAAAATAAGCAGGCAGTAAAAAATCTTGCCAAATAAATTTTTATTAAATCTCAGAAAACTGTATACAAAGGCAATGCATCTTATATATTAAGTACAGGTAGAAAATAAAGGCACTATTATTAGTAACTAAAGAAGACACTAACTCAAACGGTTGAGGAGCATTAGATAGGAGTTCAAAGAAATCTTTTAATGTCTACAAAAGGGCCCTTCTCTATGTGAATCCAGATGTACCTTGTTTGATGAGTCTAATTTTAATTGCAAGAATAAATAATAATGGATTTGAAGAAAATAAATCTGTCAGTGATGAACAGCAGTGAGTCCCAATGTACAACATTTCAACTGAAAATGTATAAATGCATTAACTTTTGAATAACAACAACAAAAAAGTACCTTATTTTGGGAGGCAATCATCTTAATCATTTGGAAATATTTTCTTTTAATATTTTCATTTGAATTATCGATAAGCATTATATGTTTAGCACAGGAAATATAGAAATATAACATATATCAGTATGTCATATATATGAGAACAATCTTTTCTGAAATTTTTGCCTTCTCATTCTCCAAATAACATTCTAATTTGTGTGCTTTTACTGAATTTGACTTCATCCTTAAATTCTGGCTCTTCAGGAGGCCCTTGTCATACGTTCTGGGGCTGGTCTTTATTTAATTTAATTTTATTTTTTAGCCAGTTTGGTTTCCTGCTCTGCTTTTTGCTTCTCCAACCTACTTAGCTTTTGCACTAAGGTCAA